GTCGCTGTTCGTTGTGTGCGTGGCCTCCCTGGTGGCCACCACTTTGGGTCGTCCTGAGCCCCCATCCCCGTACTCCTACCACGGATTACCTCAGCAGCAGAGCCAGCGGGCTTTGCCACTCAATGGTAAGTGGCGAGAGGATGAATCTAAAAATCCAGATAGGTTAATGCTACATATCAAAATATATCATTATATACATTGAATGATTAATTTCCCAAAGTTCATTGATTCAAATAAGCTTATGAGAAATTACAAATTTGCTTAATATCATCTTAAATTCAATATATAAAAGAAACTTAATTTGTAAATGCTAATATCGTAAATCAAAATATTATTTTCAACCTAAAATAAATCCATACTAATACAAATATCTTTCTTTTCTGGCCAGCTCACCCCGTTCCCCCGCAGATCTACCAGCCACTGCCGCAGGAGCAGTCGTTCGCCAACTTCGCAGCGCCCCAGCAGACCTACTTGCCACCCCAGATGCAACTGAATGCCATCGAGCAAGTGGCTCCTACTGCCGCCGCCGCTGAGCCCCTGAATGCTTACGATGACAGCTACAACATGGCCCACCGTCTGTCTGGAGTCCAGCATGCCAGTGGCTACAACAATGGACCCCAGGAGACCAAGGTGCACAAGCACATCTACGTCCATGTGCCGCCCAAGGACTTCGAGGAGGAGGATGCCATCCAGACCCGCGTTCACCACCAGCAGGGACCCAAGCAGAAGCACTACAAGATCGTGTTCATCAAGGCGCCATCTGCTCCGGCCATCCGTCAGCCAGTGGTGCCACCACCACCACAGAATGAGGAGAAGACTCTGATCTATGTGCTGCACAAGAAGCCCGAGCAGGAGCAGGACATCGTGATCCCGACGCCACCACCCACCAAGCCATCGAAGCCAGAGGTTTACTTCATCAAGTACAAGACCAAGAAGGAGGAGGCCCCCGTCTATGGACCCCCACCTGCAGAGATGGATCCCCGTCACGCCACCGCCGAGGATTTCGCTCCATTGGCCGAGGTCGCCGATGTCCTGCCACCCACCACCTTGGCTCCCGCTCCCGAGCCGGAAGTCGAGCAGCCAGCCATTCCTTCTGCGGTCTACGGACCTCCCACTGCCGCTGCCTATACTGGTGAGGAGATCCAGACCACCTTGTCCGCTCCTGCCAACCAGTACCTGCCCCCCGCCACCGCTCCCGCAGCCCTGGCCATTGAGGAGCCTTCGATGGCGCCCATCGTGGTGGAGGAACAGCCCGAGCAGCGACTGGCTCCTTCCCATGTGCCTGCCACCAGCTACGGTCCTCCCAACCGCTACTTCCTGAAGAAGCTGAAGTGAAGGCCATGGCTCTGAGCTGCTGATGCCTTAGCCAATTTCACAGTTTGTCATAGTCTAATGTCCATTGGATGCACCTCTACCCAATCCCCAGTTCCCAATTCACACATGCACACGTGCCAAACCTCCCCACATGCACATCTCGTTGTTTGTTCGTTTGTACAACTTGTTACATTTGTTTTAATAAAGAGTAGATAATAAATATCGAATTTATAAAAAAAAAACTAAGTGGAATATTCCTCAAACATATTGTGCGCTTTCTTTAAGCGCAGTTAATTCTTTAGGCCAGTTAATTCGTATAAAACGCAGTGGACCAACATTGGATTGCGCATTTCAGTGATTTAATGTTGGCTCATGCCGGCTATTATAATAATTGACCCTGTGAGAGGACGTGATCTTGGCGAATTTACAGCCTGCTTAATTGCGTTACGTTTTGTTAATTTCTGCGGTAGGCCCAATTTCGACGGCTTTCCGCCTTGCTGTGCGCAGAAACAAATCGTAAAGTAATGGCCAAAATGGCATAGAGTTTAGTGTTTAGTGTTCAGTGGGTTTTGGCCGCAGCAACATGTTGCTAGCATTTCCCGCCAAGTCCAACAGTTGGCTGTGGGTTTTGGTGCCTGCGCAAAGCGATGTGGCGACATGTGGATGGAAAAGCCGGGCACAGGAGCACGAGGAGCTGCCTTTGCCGACCATCCTCTAGTGGTTCGTGCCCGAGTTTCGTGGCCGGTTGATCAGTCAGTCCGGATGCCCATTCAGTTCGCTTTTTGTGCTCGCGCGAATCGCATCGCTGGGTGTTCCTTCGCTTCTGTCGGTCGTCCCGCGTCTTGTTAGCGAATTCCGTATTCAAACCTATAAGCCCATTAAAAACACGCATTTCATTCAATTTGCTGAGTGGCAATAAGTAGCGACAGTACAATCAGTAAAAAATAAACAGGCGACTAAAATCACGCGTCGAACACTGCGTATACGCAATACGGCAACTGAGTGAGTGCAAGTGAATTTGTGTGCCATTGTTTCGGGTCATTACATCTGGCATTGGCATTGACATTGGCAGTCTCGACGACTGGAAGTGCCCTCCTTGGTGGCTCCCGTTGAATCCACCGCACTGCTCCAGGTGAGTTGTAATGAGCTCTGTTTACCTGCTAATCAGCTTGTCCTCTCCGCCGGCAAATGTCGGCGAGCTTGTTGTTTCCGCTCGTTAGCATTTGGCTGAGTTTCACACATCTGCTCGGGCGTTTGGTTCTGGTTGGGATTAACTCCGGACACATGACAATAATTCACGGACAGGTTTCAGACCAACCTTCCTGCTAAAGAGTGCCGTTCCAAACTAGATTCATCAGCCACTCAGGACAAAAGCCAGTCAGTTTAACTAATAAGCTGATGAAAATAAAATTCCATAAGAAATGTGTATTATTCCCATCCCGTAGCATCATCAATCAGCAGTTGCTTGAGTTGCAGCTGCACCAGTTTAGTTGGGCATAAATAACATAACACATACGCAACGTTGTCGCTGCTTTCGTTGCAAGCGTTGCATGAAATGGACTTAAGCAGTCTTATCTCCAAATACTTCTATCCATTTTCCTTTGGTGGACAACCATACTTGGTCGGACTAATTGTAAATTATGCGGGATGAGCCCAAATTGGCGCAGTTCCTTTCACCAACTTTCTTGTGCCTTGGGCTGCCATTGTTGAACATGAATACCTATATTATTATTAAATTCTTTGATTATATGTGGAGGCTTCTTTAAGCTTGCAGCTTTAATGGACTTGTGTTACTTGAACGGTTATATCACTTGAGCCTTTTTATCTTATTTACCAACCCAGCTTTTATTTTGCATTTATGTCGGTAAGCGCAATATGTCATTGTTTTAACTGCTTGTTTGCCGGCATGTTGCGATTCTGGCTTATTAATTCGTAAAACCGTTTCCGATCTGAGGCATTCGAATATGTATGTATGTTCGAATAACGATAGGAGCATAATTTGTCCATCACTTCAAAAAACATCCTAAGTCACATAATATATAATACACATAATTCAGTGCCAGACACTCGACTTATTTTCTTCTTATTTTTTTTGCATTACTGCTCCTTTCGGACACGATTTTTCAATTAGCCACCTTCAATTATAATTCTTTGCTTGCTTATAATAAAGAACATTTTTATGAAATTTAAATGAGGAAGCATGCTGCTCAAGTGGATTAATCTTCTGTTTTCAGTGACGTTTTTTAGGTCTGTTTTATTTACCAGAAATTGTTTTTTCTTTAAAGCACTTAAAATATAGTAAGATAAAAAAACAATATTCCAGCAATAAGGTTCATTTGTTTACACTGAAAATATGCACAAACACAGGGGCGAAACTTTTTTGTTTATTGACTGTGTGTATAAAAACTGAAAATTGTATTTTAGGAGAGAAATTAAGTTTGTGAGCTTATCTCAAACAATCTGCAAGATGCACTTGACCAACCCGGCTTTTAATATTGAAAATTCTTTTCCTAAAAGTTTGCTTTTGCCCGAGCAAACGGATTTGTTTGACTAACAAAAAGTTTCAAGTCATTCTGAGCCAAATTTCGATGCCTTTTTCAATCAGCGGAATGCAATGGCATTTCAAACCGACTAAGCTGGAATTCGGCATTTTTCTGGTTAAATTAAGGTTCACATGAAATGCAACTGTTGTGTCTCAGGAAAAAAACAGCTTGATGACTTTTTACGCTTCAATAAACTAATTTTAGATCGAAAATACTTTTTGAAGAAAATACAAAATGATTTAAGAAAAGTTTTCTGCTTGACAAAATAAATAATACACATTAAATTACCTGAGACATTTTTTAGATGACACACTTGTCCACTTGCAGTTAGCTTTACCCAAGGACTGATATCATTAGGCGGTGGCAAGTGACCATTAGGTCATTTGGGATAAAAAACCACCAGAAACAGGCATTCGCTTATCCAAAAGAGGTAACCAACAAAAGATTGTCCTTTAAACAACATAAACAACAATAACGATTGCTAAGTTCAATCAGCAATACCCGAATATTCTATAACATCTAATAAGACCACGGAATTCTAAAGGACCCTAACTGTGGGCAGCAAACTGGTTTGGATGAATAAGAGGTTTTCGGGGAATGGAATATTTTGGGCTTAAAGGCTAAAGGCATGCCATTTAAACTCTCTCAAAAACCAACAAATGATGCAGGGATTTGTTCCTATGTAAATGCAATAGCTGTTGTCATCGGGATGTGCAGAAATTTAGTCGGAAGCCACCGCTTAAACATGGGAATAAAAGTAACTGATGAAAATATGCAAATCACTTGGCACAAAGTGTGAATTCAACCGAGAATAACACAGGTTTTCCTTTGATGAAAACATTCTTGTAATTCGGGTTGTCTTGTAAAAGAAACCTTTCAAGTTGTCCCTTTTATTGCAGTCTTACATGGCTACATTGTTGTTTGCCAATGATTATTTAAGCTCTAAAAATAATAATATTGCTGAGTCACTTGTCAGTGGTTTTTCTCACATATTTTCTATTTGCCACTTATAAAGGAACATATGTAAGTTCTTTAAGATAAAGTCATCACTCTATCTTATCAATAGTTACAAAAGTGCTAATGGAGCTGCAATATAAAAGCCGGAATTGCATAGGGCAGCTTTCATTGTAGGAATATAAGGAAATGGAGTTGCAACTAGGTCGGAAGTATTACAAAGGTGAGAACCAACAAGGAAAATCAAAAATAATTTAAAAGAAGCTCATGTACTTCACCCAATTTAGTGTTTTGTATTTTGGCATGGATATACCTGATGCATCCTTCGTTTGGATCCATTATCAAGGACTCTGTTAAATGTACCGAGGGCTCAGTAGCTGCGGACACGGATGACTGTGCCAGTTACTTTCAGTGTATCGACGATGAAACTGTACACTTAAATTGTGCCAATGGAAGTTATTTTGAAGCGAATAATGAAATCTGCGTGGTGGATGAGTTTGGTGTGTGCCCTACATCACGCAGATTATGTTTCGATGGAGATATTTTTGGGGATGAGAATGATTGCATTTCCTACGTTAAGTGTATTCACGGAGATCTGGTAAAACAAAAGTGTCCTGCCGGGAGTTACTTTAATGTAATATCTAAAAACTGCCGGCTGTCCCGAACTGGATTCTGTGCATCTCAAAAAGAGATATGTTTGGAGGGAGAACTGCAAGTGGACTCCGAAGACTGTGCCGGCTACATGGAGTGCTTGAATGGTGACCTTGTGAAGAAGAAGTGTCCCATTGGTAGCTACTTTGAGCCCATATTCAAACTCTGCCAGGTGGATGAAAATGGTGTGTGTTCGTCCTCTTCAAACGAATGTACAGATGAAGAAGTTCAGGTGGATCCAACTAACTGCGCTGGGTATTTCAATTGCGAAAATGGAAAACTAGAAACTAAAACTTGTCCCAGTGGCACATACTTTGAGCCCACATATAAAACTTGCATTGTCGACTTAAAAGGAGTGTGTGTGGAGCCACCAGCTAAATGCACCGAAGGAGACCTTGTTATAGATCCTAATAACTGTGCCGGATATCTGAAATGCATCGATGAAGAGTTCGTGGAGGAGAAGTGTCCAGCTGGTACCTACTACGATTCCAAGCTGGAGACGTGTACAGTGGACACTGAGGGCGTTTGTGTTACAATCAGAAAACTTTGTGCCGAAGGACTGCGCGAAAAGGATCCCAAGGATTGCGCTGCGTACACACAATGCATTCGAGGTGCGGTCGAAATTCTGAGGTGTGATTCTGGCAGATATTTCAATGCGACCCAAGCAGAGTGCCTCATTGATGTGGATGAAGTCTGCGTTAAGTCAACAGTCGAATATGACAAGGATTTGGTACAGTTTCGGAATTCGGAGAGTACTAGTGGTGATTTGCAGGAAACTACGAATAGGGATAGTACAGTTGCGGATTTTAGTACAGGTAGTTCAATTGCTGATTTCAAAGGATATTCAGACTCGAATCCATATACGGAAAGTACTACAAGCGATGTTCCTCTAAGCACAGAGATTTCTACTCCAACTCATCTAGATCTGCAGTTCACCACCTTGGATAGAGAACGTTTCATCGATTTGTATAAAGTGTATCTAAAGTCAGGGGATGAAAATGTCGGCAATGAAGAATATAATCACTATAATGAAAGTACTACTACCAACTCAGATCAGAAAACAGAGAGCACTGATGCAGATTTTCAATCTACTGATTCTTCTCTGCTAGAGCTTACATCCCAAAACGCCTGTATCTTTGACTTGAATGGAGATTGTGTTGACCAATCCACAAGGTGCACAGAAGGAAAGAAGCAACGAGATATCAACAACTGCGCAGGATACCTGAAATGCATCGAAGGAGTATTTGTGAAGGAGGAGTGCCCCGATAGGACCTACTATGATTACAATTCGGATGAGTGCCTCATTGATGTGGATAAAGTGTGCGTTAAGTCAAGAGTGGAATATGAGAAAGATTTGTTGAAACTTCAGTATTCCGTGAGTACTAGTGGTGATTTGCAGGAAAGTACGAGTACGGATAGCACAGTTGCGGATTTTAGTACAGATAGTTCAATTGCTGATTTCAAAGGATATTCAGACTCGAATCCATATACGGAAAGTACTAGCTATGTCCCTTTAAGCACGGAGAGATATACTTCCGATTGGCAAACAGCTGATTTAGATCTGCAGTTCACTACTTTAGATAGGGAATGCCTCACCCATTTGTATAAAATATGTCTAAAGTCAGGGGATGAATATTACAGTAATGAAGGACATCATCAATATGAAAGTACTACTACCGACTCAGTTCAGAAAACCGAGAGTACTGATGCAGATTTCCAATCTACATCCCAAATCTCATGTATCTTTGACTTGAATGGAGATTGTGTTAACCAATCCATAAGCTGCACAGAAGGAAATAAGCGTCGAGATATCCACAACTGCGCAGGATACCTGAAATGCATCGAAGGAGTATTTGTGAAGGAGGAGTGCCCCGATAGGACCTACTATGATTACAATTTGGATGAGTGCCTCATTGATGTGGATAAAGTGTGCGTTAAGTCCAGAGTTGCTTATAAAAAGTATTTCCTAAAATTTCAGTACTCGGAGAGTACTAGTGGTGATTTGCAGGAAAGTACGAATAGGGATAGTACAGTTGCGGATTTTAGTACAGGTAGTTCAATTGCTGATTTCAAAGGATATTCAGATTCGAATCTATATACTCGTACGGAAAGTACTACAAGCGATGTTCCTGTAAGCACGGAGAGTTCTACTTCCGATTGGCAAGCAACAGATCTAGATCTGCAGTTCACCACCTTAGATAGAGAATGCCTCACCCATTTGTATAAAATGTGTCTAAAGTCAGGGGATGAGAATTACAGTAATGAAGAACATCATCTATATGAAAGTACTACTACCAACTCAGTTGAGAAAACCGAGAGTACTGATGCAGATTTCCAATCTACTGATTCTTCTCTGCTAGAGCTTACATCCCAAAACGCCTGTATCTTTGACTTGAATGGAGATTGTGTTGACCAATCCACAAGGTGCACAGAAGGAAAGAAGCAACGAGATATCAACAACTGCGCAGGATACCTGAAATGCATCGAAGGAGTATTTGTGAAGGAGGAGTGTCCCGATAGGACCTACTATGATTACAATTTGGATGAGTGCCTCATTGATGTGGATAAAGTGTGCGTTAAGTCAAGAGTGGAATATGAAAAAGATTTGTTAAAACTTCAGTATTCCGAGAGTACTAGTGGTGATTTGCAGGAAAGTACGAATACGGATAGTACAGTTGCGGATTTTAGTACAGATAGTTCAATTGCTGATTTCAATCGATATACGGATCCATATACGGCAAGTACTAAGACTGATGTTCCTCTTAGCACGGAGAGTTCTACTTCCGGTTCGCAAACAACTAGAGCAGATCTGCAGTTCACCACCTTGGATAGAGACTTCAATCTGGAAAACAGTACCGTCACTTGTGTCTATAACAATACATTGGTAATCGAAGGAATTCGAGAGGTAGATCCCCAGGATTGCGCTGGATACATAGAATGCTTTGGAGGTGAGGCTAAGAAGCTTAAGTGTGATTCTGGCAGATACTTTAATGTTACCCAAAGAGAGTGCTCCATTGATGTGGATGAAGTCTGTTTAAAGTTAGATATGACAACTACTGAGTCTACTCCAAATTTTACCACTACTATCGACCCGTATGCCAAATGCAGTGATGGTCAGCGTAAGTTAGATCCCAATAACTGTGCAGGATTCCTGAAGTGTGTCGATGGAGAACTGCATGAGGAAACGTGTCCCAGTGGCTTCTTTTATAATTCCACATCGAAAAACTGTTTGGTTGATATTCGTGCTACTTGTGTCACTAATATCAAATTTTGCATAGAAGGAGTCCGCGAAGAGGATCCCAATAATTGCGCTGGTTACAGACAATGCATTAGTGGTGTGGTCCAAAATCTGAGATGTCCCTTTGGACAATACTTTAATGTGGCGGAACGAGATTGTCTCAATGATGTGCATCAAGCATGTGCAAGGACGGAAGTGGATCCCAACCCAGATAAGGTGCTACACAATGACACTGGTCCTCCTCTGACCATACCCGATGAGTCCTGCATCTTGGACATCAATGGGGCTTGTGTTGATCCTCTTGCAAAATGCACAGAAGGACAGGTTAAGTTAGATCCTAATAATTGCGCAGGATACCTCAAATGTAAAAATGGTGAACTCATTGAGGAACTTTGCCCAAGTGGCTTCTACTACGATCTGCAATTAATGGTTTGCTTGGTAGATAGAAGAGGCATTTGCGTCACAAATATACAAGTTTGCGATGAAGGAGCAATTGAAGAGGATCCCTACGACTGTGCTGGATACAGGCAATGCATTGGAGGTCAGGTCGCAAAACTTAAATGTCCGTTTGGCAGTTATTTTAATTTGTTCGTGAGAGATTGCCTTATTGACGTGGATGAAATCTGCGTAAGGAAAGAATACAATTATGTCGAGTAATAATGTGCAATTGATTAGTTCTGCAAGTATTTCTATATGATAAGATAAAAATATATAAATCTAAAAAAGAAAGAAGAGAAGAGGAAAGAAAAGAAACAGTATATGCTCTAATCAGGGCAACGACTTTTCCAACCTGATAATTTCATATAACGTAGTCTATTGATTTCGCATGAATAATAAATATGCAGGCATGATAAGTTCCAAGTATATAAATCTAGTTAATTGGGAAGTAGCCATTTGGTAACCGGGACTTTTCGGAAAGTTTTTGATTGCCACCATCGAAAGCAGCAGTGACTGGCGGTAATGCGATAAAAGAACTTGAACATACTAATCAGCACGTTCTGTCTCAGTAATAATCAAGTGTTCGAGCTGATTAACTTGACATATAGCATGGATTTCTGGTCTATGTCACTATTAATTGTGAGTCATTCCAAAGCAACCTTAATTATTCTCTTAGTTAAATAGAGAAAAACAAACCAGCTAAAACAACCGACATGCATTGATATTTCAATTTTATTTTTATTTTTTCTTCGCCAAATGGGCGAGAAACTAAGTGGAAGCATTGGCTTATTTTTCACTTTTGTTTTCAATCTTTACATTCACCAAAAACACGTTAAAAATGAAGATGTTCTTGGTGTTTCCATCTTTCGGTGGCGGTGTTGAGGGAACTTCCGGAGCCAGGGTGGTGATGGGAGCTTCGGGAGGAACCCCAGTAGTCGAAGGAATCTCAGAGGGAACTGTGGTTGTCGTCCAAGGAAGCTCAGTGGAAATCGTGGTTGGGGTCGCCGGAAGCTCCGTGGGAACAGCGGTTGTGGATTCATTCTCGAGGTCCTCCGTTGTCGATTGGTCACCTTCTGGATCCACAGTACTATCAACATCCGGTTCAACGGTAGTCGATACTTCCTGTTCTGCGGTCGTTGTAGACGTCTCCTCAGGATTTTCGGTTGATGTAGGATTGTTTTCGGGCTCTTCTGTTGTAGACTCCTCGGAAACTTCAGTAGTGGACTCCTCGGGTTCTTCGGTTGTAGTGGAAGGTTCTTCGGGTTTCTCGGTCGTTGTAGTCTCTTCAGGAGCTGCGGTGGTCGAGTCCTCGGTTCCATCCTGGGGCTCTTCAGTAGTCGTGTCCTCAATATCGTTAGGGGTAGTAGTAGTAGACACCTCTTCGGGCCCTTCAGTCGTCGATTCCACTTCTTCAGGAGCTGCGGTGGTCGAGTCCTCGGTTCCTTCTTGGGGATCTTCAGTAGTCGTGTCCTCAATTTCATTCGGTGTAGTAGTAGTAGACACCTCTTCGGGCCCTTCAGTCGTCGATTCCACTTCTTCAGGAGCTGCTGTTGTCGAGTCCTCGGTTCCTTCTTGGGGATCTTCAGTTGTCGTATCCTCAATATCATTAGGTGTAGTGGTGGTCACTTCGGGGTCCTCGGGAGCCTTAGTAGTAGTAGTCACCTCTTCGGGCCCTTCAGTCGTCGATTCGACTTCTTCAGGAGCTGCGGTGGTCGAGTCCTCGGTTCCTTCTTGGGGATCTTCAGTAGTCGTATCCTCAATATCATTAGGTGTAGTGGTGGTCACTTCGGGGTCCTCGGGAGCCTTAGTAGTAGTAGTCACCTCTTCGGGCCCTTCAGTAGTCGATTCCACTTCTTCATCTTTTGAAGTAGTGGTGGTAGTTTCGACTTCTGAGGCTTCCGTAGTTGAAACTTCTGGTGCTTCGGTTGTAGTAGAGGACTCCTCTGGTTTTTCGGTTGTAGTAGAGGAGTCTTCGGGAGTTTTGATTGTTGTGGAATCCTCTTCGGGTTCATCAGTTGTCGCCTCCTCTGGCTTATCTGTGGTCGTCGATGGGGAGACCTCTGTCGTCGATTCATCCTCACCATCGACAGTAGAAGTAACTGCAGGAGCAGCTGTTGTAACCTCTCCGCCACTGCTCACCTCTCCAAACCCGTAGGGGGAATCCTTGTTTACCGGCACATAGAAGATACCCTCTGCGACAAAGAAGTTTACGGCATCACCCATCAATACTGAACTGTACGTATCGCCACAGCTGTTCTTGTTGGCGTCCAAGTAGGATGCGCACTTCTTCGAAGGGAAGTTGTTCCACAGCAGCGCCTCCACGTAATAAAGAACTGATTTGGTGTGTGAGCAACTGCCGGTTATATCGATACCACAACCTGGCTGGGATCTGCCTCCGTTCATGTAGAAGGCAGCTTTTCCAATTGGCTGGCTAAAGCCCAAAACTGCACCGTTTGTGTGTACTGACTCCACATATAAGGCATCATCGCGGGACAGACGTTTTTCAGTGTTCGAGTAACTGATGAGCGGGGAGGCCGGATCCAAACCCACGACTTTTCCCACGATGCCAGAAGCCACCTGCTTGGCGGTGTGTCCTGCAACGTGGGCGCCCAAACTGAAGCCCACAATTTCCAGAGTGTCCAGGCGCATGCCGTATCCCTCCACAAGGAAATCCACAAGTGCGGCTATCTTTTTGCCAGCTCCCGGGGCTCCGGCTACAGAGGTAGCGTACTCCAAGGAACGTCCACGCGCCCAGTCCACTGCAATCATGTTGTAGTCTCCGTACTGGAACCAGGCGTCGGCTATCCTGGTGTTCACCCCATCCTTGTAATTCGAGTTCCAGCCGTGAATGGTAATTCTAAAGAGCCATTGCAGTTAGTTGAAGTGTAAATTGATTTCTTGTATGCCCACCTGGTTGGATTTTTGGGATTGAAGTTAGAGGCATCGATGGAGGCCTGGGTAGCCTTGATCTGCTGTCCAGTGCTAGGATTCTGCTGCGTGTATAGGTAGAAGTTAACCGTGTTGGTGGACAGGCGACCTTCCAGCGTCTCCAAGTATTTCATTTCGCGCTCCGCCTCCGCTTTACCAATCCACTTTAGGCCACCATCCCTTTGAGGGACAAACCATCCATTGATGCCATGAACTCGAACCGAAAGGTGGTCGACCGGCCAGGCGCTGGCTAAATACAATTCATGCTAGGTTACCGAAAACTATCAATGTGCTAAGTCTTTACCAGCAATCACGCAGCTCAGCACAAGAAGGCACAATCTCATCGTTGAAGTGAATATTTATAATGGTTTTTTAGTTGTTCCTCGTACTGGTATTTATACCTTCAGTCTGCACAAGTTGAATGAGAGCCAAATCTGCGCAATACCAGGGAAGTGATTAGATCAAGTTTAATCAGTGAGATTCTAATACCACGGAAAAATACGTTACTAGCACTTAACGAAATTCTTGGAACCCTTATTTGGGCTCGGAAATGTTAATCCTCTAACTAAAGTAATACCACATAGGTTGTTAAAAATCTTTATTGTAATAAAGATTGTAATTAAAATAATAGAATAAATAATAGAAATCGCAACCGCTAGAAAGATAACCCAATTTTTGTTTTATAAATCATTTTTGTATTGAAAAGCTTTCAGTTATAAGTAAATCTAGTTAGTCCCCAAACTTGCGCTCCACAATGGAATATCGGTAAAATAAAGCTCACAACAGATTGCTTTCGCTCACAGAGCTTTCACTCAATTTATTAGTTTAAAGACTGGACTTAGTTGCCCATTCCGTAGGGAGCATCGCTACGGACGGGAACATAGTAGTCTCCGGCGACCATGTAGGCATTGCTGGTGGCTCCCATGCGGACGGAGCTGTAGGAGCTACCGCACGACTTGGCCACAGCCTCCTCGTAATCGCCACAACGCATGGTGGGGAAGTTGTTCTTGGTCACGGACTCGGCATAGTAGATCACCGAGCGGCTGTGGGCGCAGGATCCGGTCAGGTCAACACCGCATCCGGGCTGGCTCTTGCCTCCGTTGGGGTAGAAGGCTCCCTTGCCGATGGGCTTCAGGAATCCCAGGGTTCCTCCGTTGGTCTGGATGGACTCCACATACCAGGCATCATTGGAGCTCAGACGCTTGTTGGGGGAATCGTAGCTGAAGAGGGGCAGGGCGGGGTCCAGACCAATGATGGTGTGCAACTGGCCGTTCTTCACATTCTTGCCAGCATAGCCAGAGACATGGGCGCCCAGGCTGTGACCAATCACCATGGTGTTGTCCAGGTTCAGGCCGTGGTTGTTGCGCATAAAGTTGATCAGGGTAGCCACCTGCTCACCGACTCCGGGAACAGCCAGAACGGAGGAGGCGTAGTCCACGGAACGGGCACGTCCCCAGTCCACGGCAATCATGTTCATGTCGCCGTGGGTGAACCAGGCATCGCGGACTCCGTAGTTGATGAACTCATCCTTGCTGGAGGACCATCCGTGGATGGTGAAGCGGGTGGGGTGATTGGGGTTAAAGTGGGAGCCAGAGATTGATGCTGACGTAGCCTTGATCTGCTGGGGAGAGTTGCGGTTGGAGTTGGTGTACAGGTAGAAGGTCACGGGGTTCAGAACACTGCGTCCCTCCATGCGGTTCTTGGTCTCCAAGTAGGCCTCGGCGAACTCGCGGTCCATCCACTCCATGGTACCATCGGCCTGGGGCACATACCATCCGTTCTCACCATTCACACGATCCTCCACGGCATTAGCTAAGGATGCGCAAGAAGTGCAAATAATTTATTAAGGACGATATAGTACTGAGTGTGAAACCTTCTCGTACTTACCCGCCAGGACACAAAAGGCGAAGGCCAGGAACAGTTTCATCATAGCGGCAAAGTCAACTTCAACTAACAACTGTGGGTGGCGTGGTAGCTACTTTATATGGGAGGTGGGTCCGATCAGTCGATCAAATCACAGACAAGTTGAAACATACCACTTAAGATAGCCCACTGGATTGGCCACTCGGACCATCGACCGCCTCGATAAGGATGGAACATGTGTTTCGGCAATCTATTCTAAGTTGAATGTCCATCTTGAATATAATTTGATTTCTTCTGGGCCGCGTGTCCCCATGAAGTAGTTCACGTTTCAGATAGGCAACAACTGTTGACGTATTATTTGATCAGTGCTATTATCATCTTTGTGTGGAGAGATAGACTATCTTTCTGCCAATTTCAATTAAAGGTGTGTCCATGTCATTGCACTACTCTTAAAATTATTTAAATAAGATATAAATCTTATTCCTTTCACGCACAAGTGAATGATAGTGGATTTTGCTACTATTTTACTAAAATTGTTGTATCGCGTTTTGTTTTCTGGCGGGTTTCAGTTGCTTGCTTGTTGCCAATTCGTCAATTCTAATCACTATTTTTTGCTGCCAAAACATCACAGCTGGCCACCAATTTAAATATAAAACAAGATAAAATGCTATAGTCGAGTTCCCCGACTATCAGATACCCGTTACTCAGCTAGTGAAACTGCAAACGAGAAATTTCAACATTATCTGGAATATCGGTAGAAATTGGGGGAAAAGTAATAAAATGAAAAAAAACTTAAAAATTGTTTGACAGTTTTGTGGGCTTGTTGGCGTTAGTGAGGGCGTGACAACATTTGGAAACAAACACTTCGCTGGGTCTATGTATAATCTCAACATTCTAAATATTGTAGTTCCTGAGATCGAGGCGTTCATACGGACAGACGGACATGGCCAGATCGACTCGGCTATTGATCCTGATCAAGAACATATATACTTGATATAATCGGAAACGTTACCTTCAGCTTGTTACATACTTTACAACGAATCTAGTCTACCCTCTTACTCTACGAGTAACGGGTATAACTAATCGCAAAAGCTTTTGAATCCTGAAATCAGTGAATGGCTTATCAAAGAAATGTTCTTTGTCACTGCTAGAAAGGTATTTTAATATTATATCAATATCTTAATTGCTGAGATAAGAAGCAAACTTTAAATTTAACATAAGCAAGCGAATACACAATATATGTTCGTATCAATGAAAACCAATTCGCCAATGAAGACGTTTCCCCAGCAAACGATTTGATTAAAAATGCAGAATATCTGAAGACAACGTGACAGTGACTTGCCCAAAGAAGCCCTTCATGAATGGCGACTCAAATTCCACAGAGAACAGGTGAACCTATCCTTATCCACTGACGTGCGACAAAGCACTTGGCGATTTGACAGTGATTAGCACCCCCTGAGAGCCGTATCAAGATGCAGATAGACTGACAAAAATAGACCACCTGATTTTCGGGAGCTCAGTTTATTGTTTTTATTCAGTTTGCCCGAATGGAGCCTCACTGTTTACAGGCACATAGAAGTGGCCCTCCACATTGTAGGCATTTGTATCCTCTGCCATGCGGACGCGGCTGAAGGTGCTGCCACACTTGTTGTCCAGAGCAGCCTGGTAGTCCTGGCACTGGATGGCACCAAAAGTGTTCTCGGTGACGGCCTCTGCGTAGTAGAGAACGGATCGTGCATGGGAACAGGTTCCTGCCAGGTCCAGTCCACATCCAGGCTGCTTCTTTCCTCCACTCACATAGAATGTGGCTTTTCCAATGGGCTTCACAAATCCCTTCACACCGCCATTGGTCTGGATGGACTCCACGTAGAAGGCATCTTCGCTGGATAGACGCTTGTCGGGAGTATCGTAGCTGAAAAGGGGCAGGGCAGGATCCAGACCCACAATTGTGTGGACTCTCTTCTGCCCAACTTGCTTTCCGGCATATCCAGCCACATGGGCACCCAAACTGTGACCAATCACCTTAAGAGTTTCAAGGGACATACCGTGATTCTCGTGCATGTACTGGATCATCTCTCCCACTTTGGTTCCAGCTTCGGGAACAGCACGTACGGACATGGCATAGTCCAAGGATTGGGATCGGTCCCAGTTCACAACGATCACGTTAAAGTCTCCCCTTGACAGCCAGGCCTTGGTTATATCGACATTCATACTATCCGTATATTTTCCCTTCCATCCGTGAATGACAAACCGAGTTCCATGGTCCTTGTTGAAATGGGAGGCCACAATTGAAGAAGAATCGGCCGTAATTTTTTGGCCTTCCGTGGGGTTTTGTTTGGTGTAAAGATAGAAGGACACCTCATTGGAACGGAAGCCGATAGGGGAAATGTTCTCTAAGAGGTCTTTAGCTTCCTCCTTGTCCATCCACTCAGAAGTGCCATCCTCCTGGGGCACAAACCACCCATTTTCGCCATTGACACGCTCCTCAATGGGAAGTGCGAAACCTAAGGTGCAGGAAATTATTATTTAAGTCGAAATGGTTGGAAAGCCAATTAGGACTTACCCGCTACAAACAATGCTGCCAGAAATAATATCTCCCTCATATTGGTATCTCCGCAAAATGAAGTGTGCTAAGTGTGCTTCATTACAACGGTTTTTATAGGCTGTAACTTATCAATAGCCAGACCACTTGAGATCCGGAAACGACTGCTATAAGTTGTTGAGAGTTGTATATATGTGGTAATAATATCAACTGATAGTATGCTAATGGCATTATTAAGTTGCTTGTGTTGCATCTATCGAGTATATGGCAGCCCATGGGAATATGCTATCTATAAAGTTTACTTTTAAATGTGACAGTATACCGACGGAATACAACACAACGTTTTAAGTGGTTGAAATCCTAGTGCACTTCACTTGCGAGTACTTGAAAATCGAAATCAAAGAATGACTAAACTTTATTGGAGTAAAGTTGATAAGATGATGAATACAATAGTACCCCTCTATTCGGTCTTGCCGAAGGGGGCCTGGCCGTTCACGGGCACATAGAAGTCGCCCTCGACCATGTAGGCGTTGTTAATGGCTCCCATGCGAACTCCACTGTAGGTGCTTCCGCACTCGTTGGCCAACGCAGCCTGGTAGTCGTGACACTTGATGGTTCCGAAGTTGTCACCTGCTGCCAAGAACGCTGCTAGAGCTATGAGCACCCTCATATTGATATCTTCGCCGAATCTAACGTACTGCACCATTTTACCGGAGCTTATATAGGCTGTATGTTATCAAAAGCTTATGTTATAGGATCAGGATGGATTATAAGATAATCTTATCATTTGCGGGCTGTTTATTCCTTTTCAATGATTGTGTTTGTAATCCCCAATAAGGCGAAACGCACCTTAAAGGGAAACCACACAAAATGCTTCACAAATATTTCTAATCTACTTCGTGATTTTTCTCGATTGAGAAGCACTTGAGCTTCGAAAATCCCAGTGTACTTCAGTTATAAGTACTTTTTTGAGCGGTAGTAGGTCCTCCATATCGATGGGGTTGCTGAGTAT